CCTTTTGAGAACAGCTGAAGATCAGAACAAGTCAATACAACTGTATTGCCTTTGTAAGGCTTCTCTTACCCTCGTTTTGAAACCCAGAATGACCTGAGGAAATCAGAATCATCACTTACTATCCTTTTCTTTCTTGCAACATTATGCAAAATGTTAGAGCTTCCCTATTGCAACCTACTCCTCCCAGCTTTCTCTTTTGTTCACACATTTGCCCTGAATAATTGCACGAAACAAATCCTGCCTTGAGGTTTGTTTACCAAAACCATTACTAAATATCTGAAACATTGGTTTATCTCACATAACAAAATGCTTACTTTGAGCTAATCAGAGAACAGAAATAGCAGAATTACCTTGTGAATTCAGACAACGTATTTATAAACGCAGATTTTCTTTCAACAAATATTTTGCTGTGTTTGCTTAAAAGACATGATTTCAGGATTTCTGCCAACAAATTCATAAAAAGGAGACCTTATGGCTATACCTGTGGACTTTCCCAATACAAATACCCTGCCACATGTCCGTGTATTCCTATGGAACTACAGTGTGACAGCTCACTCCCTCCACAGAGGTTTTTAAGAGCAAAAGTCAAGGCAGAACTGCTGCCAGTACAGAAAAGAAATCTCCTGAACTTTGATCTGGAGATGTTGCAGCTTGTGGGTCTGACACAGATGCACATGGAGACCGCTGAGCCCCCAACTGGCTTGGCCTGGGGAAACTCAGCAGCAGCCCTGTCCTTTTATATTCTTTCTTGTGTATGTTGTTTCCTATCGGATATAGTGCTGGGCAGGCTTAAAAAACAACATATGTATGCAGCAAGAGCTGTTAAACTTCTGCACTTCAGAAACGAACAGCCAGAAAGGAAAAACTTAAGAAAATGTAAAATACACTTCAACCTAGATTTCGGCACCAACCAGATCAAGAAATGACATCTATGTCTTCTCCTACATGGCTTTTCAGCATTCAAAGCACAAACTCCCAGTATATTGTCTGAAAAACCCAGGCACAAACTTTATCCTTTAATTTGAGGCTTTGTCATTTGACTGGGGGGAGGTAATCAGGAACAGGCTCTGGACCATGCTGCTCAAAACATGACAACAGATACACCAAAAAAACAAGCTGGCTGCATGAAGCAATTAAAGTAGTGTTTACTATTCCACGACAGTTAACATGTGGGACTGACCTTTCATTTACTGTTTAGTACTGAACATTAAGCTGCAAAATTACTCATGCTTTGCATTTAGTACTGGCATCAAAACTAAAAGCATTAGATAGCTATTCCCATGGCGAGACACACATTCCCTCTGCCCAGCTGTGCATATGCTTTTATAAGCATTGTATCTGATATTTAACATCATTTCCACAGGTCATATTCATCCATTACCATTAGGAACTGCTGATAACATGGCTCCAAAATGTAAAAAGCATATGCAAAATCTCCAGGGTGACACAGTTGGTAAAATTATGCCCCTTCCTTACATGCTGGGAGAGATAAAAAGAGAAGGCTGGTGTATGCCCACAGGACCCTGCAGCAGCTCCCAGCCAGATGGCAGAAGGAAGTACAGAAGCTGCAGAGGAAAAGTTTCTTTGTTTACTCTCCTTCAAGCTACTTACTGCAACCATGTTATAAAGAGAGGCAGAAAATGTGTTTTGAGAGCCTGGCAGCTCAGTGGTTGAATATTCTCTCCGAAATGGGCAACGTTCCATTCAACACACTTGGACAGAGCACAGGCAGGAAGGACCTGAAGTTTCCATTCCTGAGGGCGATGCTCTCATGGATGAAAGGAGGGGTTATGTCTCCAGCAAAGCAGCTTTGCCAGTGTGCTTCTCACTGATCTTACTGCTGTGACGAGGTAAAATTATGGTCACTGCTATCCTTGGCTCTAATTCCTCTAGTCAGACAGCTGGCATGCCCAGGACTCTGCATTCTGACAGCAGAGTTAGGATTTTTGGACCAGAGGTTGCCCTACCCAACACAAACACAGGTATTTTCCATTCATCCCCTGTGCTCTTTCCAGCTCCCACTTGTGCTGTCCTGCTGCGGCCACCGGACTTCAAACACCAATGAACTTCTCTCCCCACTCCTTCTTCACCTCTGCCTGAAAGCTTCTTCATTACACCTCTCTTTGTTACATCTTTTTTGAGACAGAGTGATGAGCACTGCAAATGGACAGTCTATGAATACCAGAATAACATTCAGTTAATCTCCAGACTGGAACTTTAATAAACACAAATATATTAAGGGATTCCCTGCCATTCATGGTTTTTTTTTTCATATTCATAGGGGTTTTATATCTAAATCTCCATTTTCTGTATTGCAGATGAAGTTATCTGGCTTATTTTCCCCCAGCTCGAATATTCCCATTGCAGATTCCAAAGGGCAGATTTTCCAAGGCTGCTCAGCATACTGATTATGATAGAACCACTGCTGATTTCATCTTCCCTGCTTCTTTCTTAGTATTTCTAGACAGGTGTTTTGTGCAACCAATATGGCAGCTCCACAGTCAAAATTATTATGAGATTCCTGATAGGAGGCAACTTAGTGTATTTTAAATATCAGTATCATTTCTTAAAGAGAGAAGAAATCTATCAAACAAGGTTGTAATTGTATTTAATGCACATGTTGCTTTTAACAGCAATTTGCCAGTTTAAGCAGCATAGACCTTACAATGCTCAATTAGTGAAGAGGTTATAGTGCTTATAAATTTGTATCTAAAATATACCTTATTCATTTCCTATTGAGTAACATTTTACAGACATACTAATGTTATAATTACATGCTATACAGTAGCAGCATGTTCACACCACTACAGTTAAGGCTGTGTCAGCATTCTCATCATGAACCTTTTTCAGGTTTTGAACACACCAGCCATAAAATGACAAAGCAGTTTGAAAAAATATGACATCCAAGATGTGAACCGTGTGTCAACTTTAGTCAAAGAAGAAGAAAAATAATAAAACACATATAATAAAGGGCTCCACCCAAATTTATTTTGGATGATTGCTGCCTTTGCACAACATGCTCAAAATTTCCAAAACGAAATTTAAAAGAAGTTGGTAGACAGCACTGTCTGATCAGGTTTAGACAAATCTAAGTGCAAAGTGTTGTAAAGTGGGTGCCACAGATGCACACTAACCACTTCTCACATACTGCACATTTTAACATACACAAGGCTTCTTCTGTGTAAATATTTAGACTGGCAGATAAAAGCAGTTCTACCACCAAGTGAATAATAACAACCGCTCACCTCTGGTTGCATACACTTATTGGCCATGATGACAGTGAATTGTTTCCCAAGTTAGCACACTGGCTGCTGATGTACCATGTTATTCCCTACAGCTAGGATAAGAAACATCTGAAATTTTATGCCATTCTTGCCCTGCTAATTCAAGAGGCATTCATCACACTGCTCACTAACTGAAACCTTTTGTTTAAGCCAAGAAGATGGACAAGGCCAAATACTGTACAGAAAGTGACCTAAAAGTCACTAACAGACCTTCTTCAGTAAAATACCAGAGCCTGTCTAAAGAAACTGACCCTTAGTTCATGCCCCAACAATTTGTTTAATTAACAAAATGTTTCTTATTGCTGTATGGTTTGATTAAAATAAAACCTCTAGTCAGTGATCCACTTATATATATTCTACCTCTGCTTAAAGCAAAGCACATCTTGAAAACATTGCCGAATGAAAGTGTGCTGCAGGTGTTAAGAGTTGTCATGAAAGCATAGTCAGGTGATGAAACTTTGTGGAGCTGCAGAACCAAGCTCTTCACAGATCACTATCTTATTTATTGTTTTCACACTTCCCCATTCAAGAAATTTTAACTTTGTTAAGTTAAAATTTTAACTTTGTTACCACCATTTGTTACAATGCTTTTGGAAGCTCTCCATTCTATACTTTTCAGACTTAGAGATAAGCATTAAGATTGAAAAAGAGTTGCCTATTTCAAGCTTTGTGTACAACGCATACACACATTTATTACTAAAAACTTCTCTAAACATCTATTTGTTCTTTGGACAAACTCCAGCCTCCCTAGGTGACTGTAACATATCTTATAAACCTTTCATGGAAGATTTAAAAAAATAGTGCGTCAAGACAAATAAAGGAAAACGAAGACATTAAAACATCACCAACACAGAGACAGGAGGGGGAAAACAAAGTGGAGGCATCCCATGCCAAATTCACTGCTGGCACAGGTTAGCAGTGTCCTCTTGAAGTCTGCTTCCCGCCTTCTTGCACAAGTTTTTTTATTTCCTGGTCTTAAAAGGGTGCTGCAAAGCCACGAGGAAACTCCATGTATGCCCCCAAGTGAGCATCACACACCAAAATCCTTCTTCTTAAGGACCAACTGGCATACAGCCTATTTCAGCTCTCTGTCCCATCAAATTTTCTGTGCACAGCCACCTGTAAAACAGGGGTGACAGTATTTCTCTACCTCAGAAAACCGCTACGAGAACAAATGCATTTCTGGTTGCCTGGACCATAGTCACCGACATAAGGGCTACATCAATACCTAAAATACAGCCTTGCTTCCTTCTGTGGATCCCTACCAACAGGTAGTAGACCAGAACTATCAAGAGTAACAATTGGTAATGGAGAGGTTTGTGACACTGTCTAGTAGTGACTGATTTAGTCCAGCAAAATTAAGTTTTGCTGTAAAAGCTCCCTAAGATTTATTTATTTATTTATTTTTAATAAGGGATCAACACAAGTCTGCTTAGGGAATTGCACAAGAATGACCCCAATTGTATCCTGTTATTCAACATCAGAAGTTGTTTTAGAATCTGCCTACATTTGATGATGGTCCACATATATTCCTATGCAAACATATTTACTGGTTGCACCAGGGGAAAAACCAGTGAATTTCCAGCCTCGGCTTCCCCTTATGGTTCCTGTGATACTAGGCATGTACCACAGAGGAATGAAATGATTCGGGAACAGCCCATACAGTCCATATTAAGTCTCCTCACCTGTGATGTGAGCAAGGAGAATGATACTGTGTTAAAAGCCAGAAATCAGCTACTCACTGCATCAAAGATCACCTGTACTCCATTAATTTCATAAAGATATTACAGGCTATCATCATGGAAACAGAAGATGTCCATTCCTAAATTGGAATCCCCCGTCCTTCACTGAGCTATTAAGAACAAAATCCTCAAAACTTTCAAGATAAAGTGAAGCAGAAGTTTCAGGTACAGAAACGTAGTGCAAAGGTTCAGTTTGGCACTGCAACATTAGGGACAGACCCAGAGCTTACAGTAGACTCAATTTCCATTTGGGGAAGAGAATCCTATAATTGAACCAGTATTGTCAAATGTATTGCATACTATTTTAACTTCACAGTAATCAAAATCAGACATCAAGGTTTTTATAGAAGCAGCAATCACAGATTGCAGTAAAGTATACCACTCAAGGAAAAAAAATTGCATTTTGGCAATTTCATAGTCAAATGTTCCTTATGCTCCTCTGACAGTCATTTGTCAGATTATGTTCCTGTTTAAAAGGTGCATATGGTTTCTCCTCAGTCTTCGTGAGACTTCTCTGCAATTACTTTGCATTCATACTGAAAAACAGAAATTGACAAAATCAGTAATATTAATTTACAAAACTAATGAAAAAGACTGCTATGTGGGGGATTTTTCTACAAAATGGGTGGTAAAACAGCTTAGCTTAAACTTTACCCAGATAAGCCTGATCTCCCTAAATTCTGTGCATGCACTGTTGGCTGCAATATCTGCCTCTTTGAGCAGGAGAAAGAGCAGTTCAGAATTAAGTTCTGACTTCTCCCCATAAACAGGAACTTATTCAGCTACTGGTCCTGAAAGGACTAAAAAATGTACCTTGAAGTGCACAGAGCAAAGTCATGGGCTGTGCTGTGAATAACAGTACTAACAGCTAACTAAATAGACCAAAAAGCAAAGATTGATTTCTACCTTACTCCACATCCCCAAGTCAAATAGCTTGTTGGTATATATGAAGGAAGGAATGACATGTAGATTTAACTTTTGCTAGAAGGCAATTGACACCCCAACTTACCATTGCCAGCTGCCTGCCAATATTGCCCATAGTTATTCCACCAGCAAAAAATATACATGGCAACCAGGAACGAACATAGAGGAAATCTGGAGATGTGTACCTGAAAAAGAATATACAATTTTAAGCTCAATGTTGTGCAATAGTTAAAGTCTTCCAATCACACCAGGCAAATCCACAAATTTAAATATTAGGACATTTCAATTACAAAAGACATGTATTATTGGAATTTAATTACTTGCAGCAAATAACAAAGCAAGATCCTTAATTATTATAATCCCATTTATTCAACTAAAAAAATCAGGTTACATTGTTGGTAAGGTACCAAGTTTATTGAAATAAGCAATTTACAACTAAAAGTCTCCCTTACAAACACATATAGGCTTTTATGAAGAGTCCAATTTATGTGACACTCAAAATTAAGTGCTGGCAGCTCTGGAAATTATGTCAAACTCTACCCTTTCAGTTATTCTGATTTATGTTCCAGTTTCAGGAGACTATCTTTTAACCTTAATGGAGTAAATACTTACTGATAAACTCCATTGTAGACCAGAAGTTGTGACACCAACGTGGCCAGAAAAGCAATTCCTACTCCAAGACCAAAGCCACTCCGTGATCTATCAAATGTCCACCACAGTCCAATTGACAGTGCTGCTAATGTGAGAGACAACTGGATATTGTTGGCAAAATCCACTTTCTGTGTTGATTGTTAAGGATAAGCTTGGAAATATCACATACAAGTGTAGAACAGATTTCTTCATTCTGTTTATGATATTTTGGCACAACAGAAAAAAATACCATAGACAATACAGGAGTAGCAGTATCAGCTGTAACACAGCTATCAGGTACAAGGAAATCAGCCTGGTAAGTATAACCAGTAGATCAGGAAACTAAAAACTTCTGACACTTCCTCACATTTTTAGGGTCTTAGCACCATACAAGAGCAAAAAGACTATATACCTACCAGATAATGCAGGTGTTTATATAGACTTTCAAAGGACATGTTGTTCTTCAGAGTAAGGACATCTAATCCTTACCTGACCCTTCATTAAACTAGGCATGAAATTTTAAGTCAAGTATCATACTCCTCTAAATGGCAAGGATTTACTGAAAATAAGGTATTTGTCACTCTTAATTGCAATTTTGCATCATTTACATGCTCATTTACATTCAGCTAAACATGAAAAATATCGATGCTTTCCATAAAACAAAATGTAGGTAACATTACTGTGAACTCATTAATGGAAATCAACACTAAAAATCACTTTTGTCAACTCCGCGATAAAAATGTGAAGTCATTCCAGTTATCTTTGTGGTGTTTCATATTCTTCAAGATGTTTTGGAAATACTAACTCATCCTCCCTACTTGTATCCAAAACAGATTATTAAAAAGGAGGCTGCCAAGTTTCATAAGCCTAAAAGCAAATGTATGGCTTAAGAACACAAGAACACTGCCCTGTTTCCTCACAATGACCTGGAGAGAGAGCTTAGAGGAAATGAGATCAAAGTTCAGCTAACTGAAATAAATAATTACAGTATAAAAATCAGTAGCATCAGAAGAAAATGTCAAACAAAATCAAAATTCACACCAAATACAGTAGTGTGCAGAACTGATAATAAGCTGAAAAGAAAGCAGTCTGGCGAGCTGTCAAGGAGGAAATACAAACAGTACATTAAAGATGTCCTGGAATTATGTGTTACAGCTGTTAGAAAACTGCAGGAAGGTTTGCTGCAAATCACCTCACCCAAGCTGTCAATTCTCCTGTTTCTTCTAAGCAGCCAAGTTGCAGGTGCTTACACAACAGGTACAGCCCAGGTCAGTGAGAACCACAGGACCAGATGAACGCACCTTTGGCAAGGAGAGCAGGTTTGTGAGGGGCAGTGGGAATGACTCTGAACCTTGGCAGCTCCAGCTCATCCGGCCATACTGGGTAGGATGGTTGATGGGAACAAAACCAAACACCACCACCCATCCAAGGGCCAAGCCAACTCAGCAAGAATTCAGCCAGCTCTCTCATCTTTCATCTAACTTGCCCTCTTTTTCTGGAGATGAGGAGACTCGGAAGAATGCCATCAGAACTTTTTTCCATGGTTTCTGCCAACTGTGTTGAAGCTGGCACTGAAAGGGATGAGTTCCAGAGATTATCTATTTTGTAATTGGTTGACAAGAACCCAATTTTCAAGGACAGATCCCAGTTCTACCTGACAAAGGAGGCACTAGGCATGATTAAACAAAACCACTAAGACTCCCAGCACTGCCAGTAAAGTGTGCCAGTCAATATGAAAAACACCCTGTCCTCCAGCACATCACCAGCTGCTTCAGAGGGAAGGGACACCAGTTTTGAGCATGTATCTGAATAGCTAGAGTTAGGAGTATAATACAACACACTGACCAACTCCTAAATTGCTCTTACTGAACGACCACAGAAATGGTAACTACTCCCTCTGCATCAAGACATCACTTGCAGCACAGAGTGACAACACTTAATTCCTTTTGTGTCATCCTGGGTATTACCCAGTCCTGAGTTTTCACCATTCTTTTCAAAGTGCATGTGCTTCACTGATGACCTTAAGACTGGGCTTCAACCTCTCACTTCGGTGTGAAAAGGACAAATGGCCTTGGAGTATCTTGAAACACTTTTCTGTAATTCCCACCACATACATGTTTCCCCACACTTACTTCACTTTTTCAAGGAAAATAAAGATTGTAAGTAAGACAAAGTCCAATATTGAGACATTTCTGCTGAAAAGATATTTCAGAACGAAAAGACATGAGACTCACCACCTCCAGTACTGCTATGACAGTTTAACACATATTCAGCATTTCCCTTGCAAAAATGCTGTACATTACATCTTTAACAACAATCCACTATGACTGACTTTGTGAGCTTTGTTTTAGTGGAAACCCATTTGTTAGCATATAGGATACAGCACTGGCATGATTTATTCCCACAAAGACAGCTACACATCGCATGACACTGGACCATTCTCTCTTAAATTTATGTGGCTCTCCCAGATGTCTGTCCATGCATGGGTACAATAACCCAATCACAGCTGTGGAGACAGGAAAGAAAAAATGCCCAGAAGTTAAAGCTCTGGCAGTATTTCACTAAAATAAAGACTATCTAGACTTTGACAATTACTGTGACTATCAAAACAGATCTTTTAATGATTAATTGTACAAAACAAACACTGTAAAATAAGAGAAATTTCAAAACAATTTCAGTATTTAAAAAAGCCCTGTAAAACATCATCAGCCCCCGCAGCAGAGACCTGGCAGAAGTAGCAAAACAAGAGACAATTTGAACTAGGGGCAGGGAATGCAAGAGCTCTGCACCCTGCCAAAATCTGCAGACTCACACTGTAGTTCAAAAAGAGCAGGCTTGAGGCTTGCAGGCTGAGACTTTTGAAAATCCCATGTATCAAAACATATATGTCTAAGTAACTCAAAACCAAACACACTTCAGTAAGAGCAGAGTGTGATTAGTAACATCAATATTTTCTGTCTTCTTTGGTTGTTGTTACAGGATAATGTTTTTCTCTTCTTCAGTGTTACTATAAAGGCTCAGGCAGCAGAGAGAAAGCCAAGAGCCTATGGTCAGGACTTTCAAACCCAGGGACTGGTTATGCTCCTTAAACATTTCTTCATAAACTTGTTCTGTACTGCAACTGCACCTGAAAAGACTGTTACCAACACAGCTGAGAAGTAACAGAGGAGCTTAATGTCAAACCGGTGCTGTAAGGAAGGGGGAAGAGCCTGAGTCACCAGGACAGACTGCAGTGCCCTCAGTCTGCTGTGCTGCTGGAGGGATGTTATGGCAAATGCTCTTTATTCTGCCAGAAAGGAAACTGATCTCCAGGACTCAGGAAAATAAATCACCAGCAAAGCTGGAGAGGGAAAAAAAAAACCTCCCTGAGCAATTTTCTTGCCAAAGGCATTGCGCCAAACTGATGACTAATAACAGTAACGGATGAAAGGGCTTCTCTGAAAGCTGACTCCATCACCCCTGATTATAAATATGCAAAATACCTTTATTCTGTTCATAATAATAAAACATACCACAGAGGAATACTCATGTCAATCCAGGAAGGATATGCAAGTATAAATGGTATGAAAATGGGTGAATTATCAGCATTTACCACAGAGGTTCCATGTATGTACACCAGCAGAGAGGATAAGGAAAGAAAACAGAGAAGAAAAGATTGATAATGAAAAAGGAAGAACCTGAACACATCAGCAGGGATCACTTCTGCTGGGAAACACCAATTAAGGCAGTAATATTTTTAAATCAGGTGGCTTAAGATCAAGTAGTGCAAATACCTAGCAGGTGACTATACTTTACAAGCCAGTCTCTGCATCAGAACCACCAATCCATCAGAACCAGAAAGGTCCTGCAGTTTCTTCAGAGATGATGGCAAGATCTAGCCTTCACAACTACATAGCTGCCAAGTGTTCTCTGATGACCCATGAGAGCATAAGGTGCAAATAGGTGTCCTGGTTTGGGCCTAACATGACTACAAAGAAGCAGCCATGTGGCTGCTCACTCAACCACCCCCCAACACACACACTGGGATGGGGAGGACAAAGGCCAACTAGAAGCTTGTGGGTCGAGATGAAAGATACGGGGAGTTCTTCACTGGTTAACGTCATGGGCAAAACAGACTCAACTTGGGGAAAAATAATTTAATCTCACACTAATCAAATGCACACAGGACACAGATAACACAAAGAGAAGTGTTTACATATGTTACCCCCACCCCTCCCTTCTTCCTGGGCCCAAATCACTGTGTTCCCAGTTTCTCCCTCCTTCCCCCCAGTGGCATAGGAGGATGGGGTTTAGGGTCAGTTCACAGTCTGGTGGTTCCTGCCACTCCTTCCTTTTCAGGAAGGAGGATTCCTTACAGTCCTCCCCTGCCTCCCCACGGGGAAAAACAGCAAACTGCTCCAGCGTGGGCTTCCCACAGAGTCACGGGCTGCTTCAGAAACAGTCACTTCCCCTGGTACAGGGTCCTCCATGGCTGCAGTTCAAGTCTGTGGGCTGCAAATCCACATTTGTCCCTCCTGCCACCTTCAGGGAATGTTCCACTGTGCTCCTCTGTGATTGCAGGGGGACAGCCTGCCATCTCACCATGGCCTGCCTTCTATTCAGACACCTTCTTCCTCCTCAACCTCGAGATCTTCTCCTCTTCACAGCTTTCTCCCCTGCTGGCCCTGCTCAGGTCTTACAGGAGTTCGTTCACACGTTAATCGCAGAGGCACATCCACTGTCTCTCTAATGGCTCCTTGGCTCGCTGGTTTTGGAGCTGGGGCAGCTTTTTCAGCTTCTTACCGAAGCCACCCGTGAGGCCTCACCTCCACTACCAAAAACCCACCAAACAAGCACAACAGTTGACAGTGCAAAGGTTAGAGTGAACTCTGCAGACCTTGCTGCTGCAAGTTGCAATCCTTTCCTTTCAGTCCCTGCTACTCCACATGAAAAAGATCAAACCTTTACCAAGCATATTTGTTAAGACAATCAGTTCAAAGTATAACAGAATACAATACAGCAAATGCAGCATACAACCCAATAACTAATCCACAACCTCAAAAGAAGAACAGAAAGAGGACTAAGACAACTAGCAGATGAGGCACACATGTAACAGCCACAATAATACACCAGATGGATTTCCATATTAGAACAAAACTGACAGGTTCAGAGAGATATTTGAAGGTTTTCCTTTTGAATCAAGCTCCCCTGTGACATCTGGGGTGTATTATTTCAACAAGGTATCAGAAAGTAATTAGACGACTAGGAAAAAAATAAGATCTAAATATTACCATTAGCAAAACAGTGATTCCAACTCAAAAGCTAGTTTATTGACTCATATTAATACCAAGAAACGTAAGTTTCTTAATCTTACTAAAGGGGTAATGGATTAAAACAGGATGAGGGGAGATTTAGGTTAGACATTAGGAAGAAATTCTTTAGTGTGAGGCTGGTGACACACTAGAACAGGTTGCCCAGGGAAGTTCTGAAAGTTTCATCCCTGGAAGTGTTCAAGGCCAGGTTGGATAGTGCTCTGAGGAACCTGATCTAGTGGGAGGTGTCCCTGCTCATTCAAGTGGGTCAGAACTAGATGATCTTCAGGGTCTCTTCCAACTCAAACCATTCTATGATTCTATGATGACCTCTGGGAATATGCTGCCTTTACGGTACAGGTTCAGTGAAGCAGAATCTGGCATAAAACTGTCCTGTTGGGTCAGTGATCTTCAGAGCCAAGTAAAAAGCAAAATTCCATCAGGCTTGTAACATGGAATATGTCTTGATACTTGAAGATGAAAGAAGAAAAAGGGCTATTTCTTACTACCTACAGTAGACACCTCACTTAAACTAGCTATACACCAAAAAGCCTCGACTCCCTATGCAGCCACAGGAGAAATGGAACATGTTCACATCATCCAACTCGATATGTTCATTTAAATAAGGTACTCTGTTCTGTAGAGCATGTCTCCAACTGGCAGCTGCATGCCTGGCCTCAACTCCAGAGAAGCATTCAGGCCTCCCAGCTTTATGCAGCTGAAGCGATACCTCGAACTGGAATGAAGAACAAATGGAAAGCAGGACCACAAACGGGAACAGAACTCAGGGCTGTCTCCTCAAACAAACCCTCAGAACAAGGTACTGTGCACTGTCCCATCTGGCACTTCCAGGGCTTTTTCAAGGGCTGCCTGTAGAGCACACTCCTGTAATCCAGCCTCAAGGTTACAAGTAGCACCATCTTCTGAAGTCTGTTAAATTTGTTGGTCTAATCCAGCAGATAAAACTGAAGTTATGCTCTGCTAACAATGTTACAATATAACAAGGCGGCAGAACAACAGTTTCTGGACACAAGCACAGGAGATCAGAAGGACAGTAACAGCTAAAGAAGAGCAGTGATGATGTAAGATAATTTTTTTTATCCTCCACACCTTTGATAATGGCTTTTTGTAACTACAAAACCACCTATCCACCCTTTCATCTCTATGCCAGGCATACATACATGACTGAACTTACCTGATGCTGTGCCACAGCAAGGTGGTACCCACCAGGCTGAGGAGAAGATGCTTGTGAGCACATCAGGGGGGAAGAGAGTAACGTTTCTCTGGATCTGAAGCAAGTTTAATACTAATGCAAGAAATACGCCAATAAAAAACAGCACTATGCCACGAATTACCAAATTCATGCCACGACTGGTTATAGATGAAATGTATGGGCCACACTTTTTTGGTAAGGTTGGCGTTGCATCGTTTTCTTCCATGACTTCTTATATTCTCAGAGACATCCAACAGACTGACAGGACTCACTTGCAATCAGTATTTCGACTCTCCTTAATTAGGAGATAGCCAAACCCTGAAAAATAATTTAAAAAACAGGTGAAAAATACAGACATAAGAAACATCAAATATATTTCCTAAATAAATTGAAGATTGGGTTAAAAAATATAGGTATTACAATTTTCTGAATTTCCTGAGGGGCAATTTGAGAGCAGAAACAACCACAGCTGCAAACATGCCTTGCAAAGAAAACAGGTTTTACAAATAGCTTTGTCTATGTGGAGACAGGAGAGGAGGAAATGCAGGATGGGACAGCTAGAAATGTGAAACCACAGAGGTGAAAAAAGGGAACTGTTATCAGATGGAAGAAGGGCTTGCTTTGCAGTAACAATAAATTGTTTTTCTCCCCTCCTTTAAGTAACAACTGGAGATTATGTAATTCAGAAGCAAGTACACACAACCCTCAGTTTCCAGTCAGCCACAGAGGTTCACAGATCTCTCTTCCTGAAGAGACTCAGGAAACATTTTTCAACTGGAAAGTGAAATCTGAGAAATATTCCTCAGAATGGCATCAGAATTTCAGCAGTCTCACAGAGCATCCCTTTTTGTAACCTCATGTAAGAGCAAGCAACTCAGCAAACCAGAGCAGTCTTCTCAACACAGAGAAATAATTAACAAAGTAACACACTTTTGGTGAAAACTGCCATACTTTATTACAAGCCATAATTGTGACCAGGCACAAAAGAACTTGAGAGGGAAGAGAAAATGGAGCTCCATGCACTGGGTCGTGTCCTATACAAGCAACTCTGCCAGTACTACAGGAATGGCAGAGATCCCATCCCAATCACCCTTTTTTTCAAACACCCGTCCATCAAGAGTCTTGTTACACACGGATTCAGTGCCACGTTCACGTATAACAACAATTTTGATAGGCAGCTCAGCTACATGGAACTTAAGGAAAAATACAAAAAAAAGCCCTGACATTGTTTTTAAATTTCAAACTGCCAACTGGTGGCAGCTTTTGTTAACTTAAGGCCACGTAGGCACAAGGGGAGCCAAACACACACATCGATTCCCCTTCCACCCCAGCTGCAGCACATCCCAAGGAAGCTCTCAGAAAGCACAGCAGCGGAGCAGAGGGCATGGAGTTCACTTTTGCTGACTGGGAGCCTAAAGGGAAGCTAAATACATCCAGGCTAGTTAAGACGCTACAGGTAAACTCCACAGAAGAAGTGGTGTCATGCTGCAGTACCTGCCCTCACTAAGAAAAAGTTCCAAGAGACAAAATAAAATTAACAAAAGTTTTGATCCTGCTGGCAGTTTGGGGAAGCAGCAGAGTCCTCCTAAGAACACAGGATCTCTGCTTCATGGCGAGTTGTCTGCATTATTTGTAACCAGGAAAACATGTTGAGGAGAAAGAGGGCAACCACAGTGCCTGCTTTCCTGACTCAAACACCCAGATGACTGCACCAAGGCTGGCACTGACACTGCAACACAACTCCCTCAAGACAAAATGAGTGCTCAAGATTATTTTTTTTTCCCCTTCTCCACATATCATGGCAGTGGAACTTGGGTAACACATTTCGCCTCCAGGAAAGAAAGTAGAGTTGCAAATACATTACTATTATAAGCTCAGTCTCCCCTGTCCTTGGGGACTTTGTGCACCAGATGAACACAGGAACAGCCAAAATTCACAGCAGAGCCTTTTCAAATGTGGCATCAGAGACTGTAGGTCCTGATTACACACTTTTGGGTAATACTGGATCTAATGGGGGCTTTTAAACTGTTACATCCCTTCTTGGCTCTAGCTTGCTTAGGACAACAAGCTAAACTCTTGGCTTTCCTTTCACTTCCTCATCCCAACAGCTCTTGGCACTTCCTGAAGCCTGCACACACTTTTTTTTTTTTTAAGTGTGTGACCAGAGCTGATGCAAACGAGCTCAGGTTCAATTCTCACAGGCTTGTTCACACTCTCTCTTCAGATGAGCTCTTCTGCTGCACACCAAGGATCACAATTTCTTTTTCCACTGTCATACTTCTCTGATCTATCACTACATTCAAGTTGCTCTTCTTCCCTGTTACTGAACTCCTTGTTCTTTGGTACCAGCCCCAAACCTTGCATGCTGAATTTCAGCCCTTAGGTGTCACTTTCTCAGACACTCAGCATCACTCCATTTTTCCAGCAGGATATTTCAGTCCTCTTTGACCCTGCAAATGGTTCCCAGCTTTGGGTCATCAGCAAACATCATTACTGCACCAAGGTCATCAACCAAAATGCTAAGCAAGATCAGCCCAAGTCCCCACCTTGGATGAAATTTATTATTAGTTTCCCTGCATCCATTATTTGCCCATTTTATACCATCTCTTGGTATCTCCCTCTAACAAGTCTGCTTCTTGTAATTCTTCAAATATAATAATCTCCAACTTAATTAAGAATTATCAGCTGTCCCACATGGCAATACTGACATAAACACTGATCAGATCTTACATTTTTTTCCTAGAAATGCTGATGATCAAATAAAAGTCCAATTTTATTCTAGCATAAACCATCTTCAGAATATAAAACCTGCATTTAGCCAATTTCCATTTACTTAATGTGTCATTTGGCAAATACATGTTTAGTTGTGAAGGCTTATTAAAAATGTCACAGGGCTTTGCTATGCAAGGAAATAAGTTACTGCTTTTACACAGCCACTGCAGCTGCAAATCATTCAAGGCACCAACAACAGACTTTTACTACGAGGTAAAGAGCCTGACCACAGCAAAGGCACTTGAGTAGGTACACATCAGCAAGTGTTTAGAACAAGTAATGCAAGGTCCCAAATCAATGTGATGCAGTACTTTCCGTCCTGGTTTCTCACCCTACGCATATTGTTCCTACTTATTTTATCCCAGTTTCCAAATTTTCTCAGCTTGTTGGCTCTAAGACCTTCTGGCAAGCCACAAAGCAATGGGGGAATGGAGCAAGCTGACCAACACGCGTGTAAAGACTGCTCGGTGTCTCAGATGGCTCGGGTTCACAGCGCTCAGGCATGGCAAAGGTGTTTAGTGTAGTCACCTTTAATGAAGATAGAAATTAAGACCTCTAAAGAAGACATCACCTTCTTCTTCTGGACTGGGAGACTAGTGTGCCTGCAGACCAGAGGAGACACCACCTCTCCCCTTTTAAGCCTTGTATTTTACTGAGGGTTTCCACCCAGATGGGAATAGTTCACATATTAAACCAAAACTACTGCTGAGCCTTCCTCTCTTGGGAATGCACATTCAGAACTGTAACACCCACTGAAACCTGCAGGCTTGGCACTGCCTCGAAGTTTCAGTTGCACTTTCCCTCCCGGGTGGATCAGGGCTTCAACTCAAGCTTTTTAACACACCGTGCAAGAACACCAAGTACAATTTGCAAGGCAACCACACAGTGCCTGGCACTGCGCAGAAAACTTAACTAAATTATCACCCTAGACATTTTCAAAGCACTTAATCACTTAACTGTCTTCTAATTAGAAGATCTGCCCTGCTAGTGCTTCCCAGGGCTCTTCACACTCACGAAGAGCCTCTGCTGTGTGCGATTTACAGCTTCTTACACTACAGACACGTCAGGAACAACACAGCCCAGCACGGGCCGAGGAAGAGAAGATTTATTTGAGCAGCGCGGCGCAGGACATGGCAAAAAAAGGGTGAAATGACAAGAAACCACCTGTCTCCTGCGAGGCAACGCCAAAGCCAACCCCCCCACCGCCCCGGGCACCAGGGGAGGCGGCTCTCCCGGTCGATGTGCTCCGGATACCCGGGCTCCGAGCAGTCCCACCCTCCCGGGCAGCAAGACTCTCCTTTCAGGCCGGCGGCGGCACCTCCGGCCCGGGCGGGCCTGTTCGGCGACCCCCGCGGGGGCTCCGCGGCCGCGCAGGGCCCGGCC